TTGTTATTAGGCTCGGCAGCAACTGTGAAAAAACATGTCTGCATTTCATAAAATTGAGATCACTGCTATATAGTGGTAAATACTGCTATACTGTCGATTTGACAACAAGCCATCTATATAAGTTGCAATTCCACCAAAGGATAATTTTGCTTCCTAGAACAATCACCCAGAAAATTTAAATACGCAATGTATCAATTTGAGAGAAAACAACATATATAAGTTGCAAGTCCAGCAAAGAAGAAATTTGTTTTCTGAATAATGTTCTCTGAATTCTAAGCAAGGATACAACCTATCTGCGATATATATCTGCATTCCTGCCTAACAAAGGCATTATAACACAAATATAATTATGCAAAAACACACAGACCAATGAACCTTTATCCGTGTTCCTCCGTAACTAAGGCATGATAAAACAAAAAAAATTATTATAACAAACAATGAGTTTGATAAAGATATGAGAAATAGAAAAAGATGAACCTGCAAACTCCTAGACAAGCATTTTAAGATATGCAGTCTTATATTTCAGGACAGTGTATGTGTATCGATCGAGCCTTCCCAATAGATTTCAAAACAGCGTAAATTGACTGAGTTTCCTCCAACAAACAAAAATATTATTTTCTCAAAAGAAAAATGAATTGCGACAGACCAAACAAAGAGATTGCACGATAATAGTGAAACTAATCTTCAGAAATACCATATCGTTGTGGAGCAGAGTCGGAGCCGTGCCGAAAAAACGAAAAATAACAACATGCCACACCCCGAAACGAATACGTCTACGTCTAGCTAACTAGTTCCGCGTATCGCTACAGTCACTGCTTTATAGGGATCCGAGCGACCCGCCCCGAACGCAACAAATACAACCAAACTGATAGCAACACCAGGCTCACAAAGCCGCACCCAATAAAAAATATCCGTCGCGAATTATGTATAATTTTTAACATATTTTTTCATATTTTTTAAACTGGAGAATTTTTTCAATCATTTCAAATATAGTCCTTCGATATCCCTATCCACCAAAATTTCGTACAACATTTTTCGTGTGCTATAATTATGACATTTCTCATCTCTGTTATAGACTAATGTTTTTAGAGTGAATCATCTCTTGTTATTGGACTCAGCAGCAACTGTGAAAAAACATGTATGCATCTCATAAAATTGAGATCACTGCTATATAGTGGTAATACTGCTATACTGTCGATTTGGCAGCAAGCCATCTATATAAGTTGCAATTCCATCAAAGGAGATTTTTGCTTCCTAGAGCAATCACCCAGAAAATTGGAATACGCTACGCTATCGATTTGACAAGGAACTACATATATAAGTTGCAAGTCCAGTAAAGGAGAAATTTGTTTTCTGAATAATGTTCCCTGAGTTCTAAGCAAGGATACAAACTATCTGTGATATATATCTGCATTCCTGCCTAACAGAGGCATGATAACACAAATATAATTATGCAAAAACACAGACCATTGGACTTTTATCCGTGTTCCTCCATAACTAACGCATGATAAGACAAAGAAATTTATTTAGTACAAACAATGCGTTTGATAAAGATATGAAAAACAGAAAAAGATGAACCAGCAAACTCCTAGATAAGCCTTTTACGATATGCAGTTTCATATTTTAGGACAGTGTATGTGTATCGATCGAGCCTTCCCAACAGATTTCAAAACAACGTAAATCGACTGAGTTTCCTCCAACAGTCAAAAATATTATTTTCTCAAAAAAAAAAAACTGCGACAGACCATACAAAGAGATTGCATGATAATAGTGAAACTAATCTACAGAGATACCATATCATGGTGGAGCAGAGTCGGAGCCGTGCCGAAAAAACGAAAAACTACAACATGCCGCACCCCGAACCGAATACGTCTACGCCTAGCTAACTGGTTCCGCGTATCGCGACAGTCGCTGCTTTATAGGGATCCGAGCGACCTGCCCCGAACGCAACAAGTACAACCAAACTGATAGCAACACCAGTCTCGCAAAGCCGCCGCCAACAAAAAGGATCCGTCGCGAATTATGTATAAATTTTAACATATTTTTACCATATTTTTTAAACCTGAGAATTTTTTTAATCATTTCAAATATAGTCCTTCGATATCTCTATCCACCAAAACTTCGCACAACGTTTCTCGTGTATTATAATTGTGACATTTCTCATCTCTGTTATGCACTCATGTTTTTAGAATGAATCCTATTTTGTTATTGGGCTCGGCAACAACTGTGAAAAAACATGACTGCATCTCATAAAATTAAGATCACTGCTATACTGTCGATTTGACGGCAAGCCACCTATATAAGTTGCAATTTCACCAAAGGGGAATTTTGCTTCCTAGAACAATCATCCAGAAAATTAAAATACGCAACACTATCGATTTGACAGAGAACAACATATATAAGTTGCAAGTCCAGGAAAGAAGAAATTTATTTTTTGAATAATTTTCTCTGAATTTTATGCAAGGATACAAACTATCTGCGACATATATCCGCATTCCTGCCTAACAAAGGCATGATAACATAAATATAATTATGCAAAAACACATACCATTGGACCTTTATCCGAGTTCCTCCGTAACTAAGGCATATAAGACAAAGAAATTTATTTAGAACAAACAATGCGTTTGATAAAGATATGAAAAATAGAAAAAGATGAACCAGCAAACTCCTAAACAAGCCTTTTACGATATACAGTTTCATATTTTAGGATAGTGTATGTGTATCGATCGAGCCTTCCCCAACAGATTTCAAAACAGCATAAATCGATTTTGTTTCCTCCAACAAACAAAATTATTATTTTCTAAAAAAAATTAACTGTGACAGACCATACAATGCGATTGCACGATAATAGTGAAACTAATATTCAGAGATACCATATCGTGGTGGAGCAGAGTCGGAGATGTGCCGAAAAACGAAAAACAACAACACGCCGCACCCGAACCGAATACGTCTACGCCTAGCTAACTGGTTCCGCGTATCGGGACAATCGCTGCTTTATAGGGATCCGAACGATACACCCTGAACGCAACAAGTACAACCAAACTGATAGCAACACCAAGCTCGCAAGGCCGCTGCCAACAAAAAAGATCCGTCGCGAATTATGTATAATTTTAACATATTTTTTCTATTTTTTTAAACTTGAGAATTTTTTTAATCATTTGAAATACAGTCCTTCAATATCTCTATCCATCAAAACTTCGCAAAACATTTTTCGTGTGTTATAATTGTGATATTTCTCATCTTTGATGTGAACTCATATTTTTAGAGCGAATCCTCTCTTGTTATTGGGCTCGGCAGGAACTGTGAATTAAGCATATTTTAGAGCATATACAGTCAAGCTTCTCAAATGCCCCATAAAACGTTTGGGTGGACAGTCTAGTCGGTGTTAGTTCACAAAATCGTGAGCCAGCCATCCCCCTCAAACCAGCCCTATTCGTCTGGGCTGGCCAGCAACCCTCGTGTCCAGCCCATATTCGGGAGGATAGGGGAAGGCCCGAACGCGATTGCCACGTTGGATCAGATAGATCGGACCCATCAGAAATTTCATGATTTCAAAAATGTTCATGCATTTTCAAAAAATATATAAATAAATGTCCATGAATTTCAAAACATGTTCACAAATTTTGGAAACATGTTCATGGATTTGAAAAACCTTCATGCATTTTCCAAAAGAATATAAATAAATGTTCGTGGATTTAAGAAACTATTCACAAAATAAAAAAAATCATCTATTGAAAAAATGTTCTGCTGATTCAAAAAAAGGGTTCACGATTTCAGAATTTTTTTCGCACAATTGTAAAAAATGTTCACAATTTCAAACAAATGTGCGTGAAAATATAGACAATGTTCAAGTTCAAAAAATGTTCACGGTTTCAATAAAAAAATGTTCGCAAATTTGAAAAATGTTCTTTCCAAAAAATATTCATGGTTTAGAAAATGTTCACTAATTTGAATAGATGTTCGCACATATGTAAAAGAAAAATAAGAAATGAAAGAAAGAAATGAGGAAAAGAAAACGAAAAGAAAAATAAAAACGAAATAGAAAATGAAAAAGAAAGTGTACAAAATAAAATGTATAAGGACAAAATGAGAAAGAAAAATCAGAGGAAAAAACCAAAAAAAAGAAAGAGAAAACCATTCAACAAATGTTCTAGAACCTTCTCAATACCAGGTGGAAAATAAACCGTACTGGGCCGGCCCATACAAGCGGGGGGTATGCGCTAGGTCACTAGACAGGACCTACTTCTCAAAAAAAAAAAAAACTAGACAGGACCTACGTGTGGAATAGGAACCGCCATGATCAAACAGCACGGGCTTTTTGGGGTGGATATGGGTCCAATTGTAGATGCCCTAAGCGGCCGGTTGCAAAACAACCAGACGGACCGAAACCTTGTGGCTTGTCAGCCAAAGCGCATCCCCGTGCTCACTGGATCGCAGATCTCCATCTCGCTCCGGCAATACCGGAGGAGTCAGATCTACTCCGCTCCGGCGATGCCGGAGAAGTCAGATCTACATACCGTGAGCTGGTGGAGTGGAATTAGGAAAGAAAGACAGACCTACCACCTACGGTATCCGTTGCCATAGGCAAATAAAAAGTGTTCATGTCGTAAAATTGTTCACCGCTTCAATGCAAAAAGCCACTTGAAAATATATAATGTTTCTGTAGTTCGGTGAATTTGTCTATGGGAAGGAAGAAAACAAGCAACAGAGAAAAAGAAACCCACCGTGAACCCTGCAAACTTAACAGAGCACAAAAGTGCACAAATGCATGCGAGAAAGAAAAGCACAGGCACAGGCAACCTTCCAATCAGCAAAGCTCCAGGAAATTTCAAAAACATGATTCACAATCATATGGTTCTGTTGATGTTTCAGAATCAATTCCTCCTATGGTTCACTGCTCCAGCTAGAATTAAGATTCATTCTACAAGGTGTTCCAGTATAGGTGACCGAGGGGAGAGGGATCTCTAGGGAACTGCCTTTACAACCTCATCAAGTCATCATTAGCTCAAAGTGAACATGTCATCATGCCATCCTCCTTGAACGTATTTGGCTTGCAGCCGCCTGAGGGCTTCAACTTGATCTGGTGATGCAGTTTCGACAAGGAATGTCTGACCCCATATCTTCCGCAGTTCTGACCGGAAAAGAGTCAAGCAGCAGCAAAAAGAGTATTGTCAAATGAATGATGTTGTGCAACTACTTAACACTAGTAAGTCCAAAGTCCAAATTCACAGATTCATCTGAAATGGAAGTTCTATGAAATCATCAGGTCACTGGAATTAGTGAGGGGAGCCTACTCATTTAAAAATTGGCATCCCAGTAACTCAATATAGATGTGTTCCCCAATCTAAGATGCCTTCAGGTGATCAGCATTTATAGTATTTGATTGAATGGTTTATGTATAGGCATGTCGAAATATACTACTTCCATATCAACATGTGCACAACCCTCTGCTGAGCTCAGATGATTCGCCCACTTGAACCTCTCCGTATATTCTCTTCCTCAAAATCATCAAGTCCGCAGCAGTGCTGACTGGTGACTGCTTCACGGTCAAATCTGCAGTGCACAGTAGCAACCTGACTTAACCATGCCTAGAGAAGACTGCGGCTGGCCTATACGCTCGACACTGCACCACACCCTGACTTAACCATGCTTCTCCATCCCCCATCTCATCTGGGACCTCCGGCCCACCATCGCCCCCTCCAAACCAGCTCCAAACTACCTCCCTTCCATTTAAATATCCCAATACAGCATTATGACTTTGCCCTGGCACATCTGAGGTGCTCCGTTGGATCTGCCACGGTGCCACCATCCAGAGCTCAGCTGTCGGCACCGGAGCTCTTGGTCTTCCTT